GATTCGATTGATAGCATTATGCTACAGCACATGGAGTGGGTAGAAGACTGTCTTGTCGTTGAAGAACAAGGCCACAAAGGCGACCAAACAGGGGCCAACAAATTTGGGAAGCATGTATATGCAAACCCATACCAGCCTTCTCAATGTGCAATTTTAGTACTTGCTGTTCACATATTTTCCTGTCCTGAACGTTCTATTGGGGGTAAACAGTAGCTATTTATTGGGAGTGATAGTAAAGACCGCTTCGGTCGACTTCTACGTCGCGTTATTGGGTCACTGAGAGAGGAGGAGCTACGTGAGCTGAGTTGCACCCCTGAAGACATCGGTACCCACAGTCTGCGTAAAGGAAGCAGCTCCTACGCTCTGGGCCAAGTTAATGGCCCCACTCCTGTGTCAGTCTATCTACGAATGGGTCAGAGTCTTGGAAGACTCAAGGACCGATACATCCACTTTGGAGAAGGGGCTGACCAACTGTGTGGACGAATGATAGCCGGACTGCCATTTGATTCCGACCGTTTTGGGGTTCTTCCTCCTCATTTTCCGCCGCTAATAACTAGTCAAATGACTGTGCAATACTGGGATGAAGTGGTTAGTGGCTTTTCTAATTACCCGCGTGGAATTCAGTCCGCTTTTCCGTTTTTGTTGGCATCTATTATCTTTCACGAAGATTATCTACGTAAAAATCTGTGTGAGAACCATCCAATATTTAAGTCAAGAGCGTTTTCGTCGAATTCCCTTCTCCATCTACAGCGTGGTGCACCAATACTTTCTATAGGAACTTCACCGGTGTGTAGCCTAAAGGCAACTGGGATTCCTCCTCATCTCGCAGTTGCACAACAAGTTAGACACGTTAAAGAAGAAGTCGCCAACCTGCGCACAAGCATGGAAACAACGTTACCTAGTACGATCGTACGAGAAATGCGCCAGCACTTTGTTGTTAATGGCGTCGCACCCATTTCGTTGCATGACCTTGACTCAAGGATCTCAGAATTGGAGACTAGAATGACAGCGCGTTTTTCCAGCGCACTCCTAGACATCCAAATACCCCGCACTACCACAGAGTTAACTACTATAAACGGACAGCACAACTGGCAAACATGGTCATGGAACGACGGCCAAATTTGCCATAATGTTCCCAAAGACTGGGAATTTCCTGCGCGAGCAAACGCAAAATTATTATGGAATTTGTGGTTCTTTGGAGATAAAGATGTTGGAATCCGCCCTTACCGGTTGCTCAACAAACAATACGACATTTTGCCACAGCATCAAATGAGACATACTCGGGTTAGAATAGTGATGGAGCATTTGGAGCAGCTTGCAAAAGAAGCTCAACTATTTTTTTCTGGATTGACTAGTGTATCAATGCTAGAAATTCCCGCGGCTGACAAAGTTTTTGATACTTCTTTCGCGATGATGCTATCGAAACTGTACACTAGAGCTCCAAAGCGTGCCGAGGACTTGTCGTGCGGCACGCTCTACAACAGACTCTGCCAGTATCGTAAAAAAAAACATACAATTTAGTAAATACCACGTAGTCATAAGAAAAAACATTGTTAGCCAATCAAAAGGTGCTATTATTTGTGATCTGATTCCTATCACAAACGCCGTCATTATATACATCGCCACCATACACTTACCATTGTAGTGCGCATTTTGTAAGTCAACATCCGATTGCTCTTGAACTCGATAGTTTTTCCCATCGACAAACCCCCTTATGCCAGAAACCAAAGGCTCATGGGCTTGTACAGCTTTTGACCATTCCAGTTGTGTATTATTTGTGGGATAGCGAATAGCTGCGTTAGGAAGTGCATTTAGAGCTAGCTCAAGCGCCACTTCAGCCGTAGCTAGATTATTTGATAGCGTAGCAGGTGGAAGTCCAAATATCTCGCACAAAGTCTTCATTTCCACAGCACTTGTGTAGAAATGTAGTACACAACCGAGCACAGCATGAAGAAAGCGTAGCTTGGGAGGGCGGCCTCGTCTTCCAGGACGCCACTTCAACTTGTAGAGCTTGGAAAACTCTGCAAGGATCACCTTAAATGAAGAGGGGGGGGGGGTGAAACAGCCGCCACAAAGCTACCAGGATGGCCTTCATTGTAGAGCCGCTGCCACGCCGAGTTCGTAGGGTCAGACAGACTTGCCACAGTAAGATAGTTCCTCTCCTTGATAGTGCATCTAAGGAGGTGCAGCAGCAGAATCTTCCGGTAGCGACGCTTGTAGACAGCCTTTCTCACACCAAGTAACGTGCTCACTTTCATCGGAAGCTTCACCACCAAGCTTTTGCCAGCAGCACTATTTTACGAGCTTTTATTTTTTAGATTTGTAACGCAAATGTCAGCGCAAATGTAGGGGTAGGTGATCATATTTTTGATAGCAAATTGCTACAGAATCGTCGTTTGCGTCATCCAGTAGCAACACTCTACGTTTTGCAAGGAAATGGAAACGCCTTTCATGAATTAGAATTGGTGACACTAATTGCGGTGACTACTGTACCAATTCACATAAATGGTCCTTGAGCTCATTTCTAAGATATAAAAATATATTAGAAACCATTGTTCCTCATCCAGCTGATGGCTCGATCTAGGGACGTCCGTCGGCGGAGTCGCTCTCGCTCTCGGGAGCGCCGTCGGTCACCCCCTTCATCCCGAAGACACACCCGTAGCCGTAGCAGGTCCCAGTCACGCCGTCGTCGCAGTCGCAGCGCTAATAGAATCTCCAATATCTCGCATCGCTCCCATCACTCTCGTCGCAGCCCGGATCGACTCTTTGCGCCACGTTCTCGCGATTCTGAGCGCGATTCCAGCCTCACTCGCGTGTCTCTATTAGGTCTCGACAAACTAGCAGCCGAAAAGCGCCAAGAGCGTGGAATTCGCAGCTCTGAAGACCCTCATACAACTCCAAACCGACCACAACGTGAATCCGTAAGAACTTCGTCATTATCACGCTCTGAGCGCTCATTAGGACTCAACTCCAGTGATTGGGACGCCCCAGACCGTCTACAGAGTGTTGAGAGTGCTCAAGAGCATTCAGAAGAGTCAGATACGCCCAAAACAAGCGACGGGAGCAGGTATAACAGATCCAGCAGCTCTCGAGAGGAAATTAACAGTAGACGCCGCAGAAGCAGCAGCACCAGCACATGGACGGAAGAGAGAGGCTCTTTACCCCCTAATAGAGGCACGTACAGACCCCGGGACAAGCTGGAAGCCCCTAAAAAGCAGTACGACGACCAAGTAGAGGAGGATTTCGACCGCGAGTTCTACTTAAACGACGATGCTGGGGGCATCGAGGCCCACGAAGGCCACGTGTTCCTCGGTAATGAGGAGAAGTTCAAGGCTTTAGAGCAGCAATTAGAGCAAACGCGAGCTCGAGGAGACAATAAACTCAAGGGCATGTCGGCCAGAGCGTCCGCTCTATCCGCCGATCAAGAGGCGTGGGAGAAGAACCGACTATTAACCAGTGGCGTCGTGGCTTCTGGCCGCGTAGACACAGATTTTGACGATGAATTGGACTCGAGGGTCCAAATTATGGTCCACAGTACCAAACCGCCTTTTTTGGACGGACGAGTATCCTTCACGACACAAGTGGAGATGGTAGCAACGGTAAAAGACCCGACGTCTGACATGGCTGTGTGTGCGAGGAAAGGGAGCGAGTTATTACGTGAAGTGAGAGAGCAGCGTGAACGTAACAAGATGAGGAAAAGGTTCTGGGAGATTGGAGGTTCTCGGATGGGCGACGCGATTGGCGTTAAGAAAGATGCTGGATCGGATGAAGAAGAAGAAACAAAAGAAGAAGAAGAATCTGAAAATTACAAGCAGGACTCGCAGTTCTCGACGCACTTGAAGAAACAGAAGGCGGTCAGTGTGTTCGCCAAGACGCGTACACTGCGTCAACAACGCGAGTTTCTGCCTATTTTCCAGTGTCGAGAAGAATTGCTGCAGGTGATTCGAGAGAATCAGATCGTTGTGATTGTGGGTGAAACGGGATCAGGTAAGACTACGCAGCTTACGCAGTATTTGCATGAAGAGGGATACTCTCAGTTTGGGATGATCGGATGTACCCAACCACGTCGTGTAGCTGCCATGTCGGTGGCTCAGCGTGTCAGTGAGGAGATGGAGGTTACGCTCGGGGAAGAAGTGGGTTACGCTATTCGATTCGAAGACCTTACATCGGACAAGACGATCATCAAGTACATGACGGAAGGAGTGCTATTGAGAGAGTCTCTGCGCGAGTCTGACCTCGACTCGTACTCGTGTGTCATCATGGATGAAGCCCACGAACGTGCGTTGAACACTGACGTGCTGTTCGGTATTTTACGCAAAGTAGTGCAACGTCGCAGCGACTTTAAACTGGTCGTGACGTCTGCTACGTTAGATGCTGACAAGTTCGCCAATTTCTTCGGTGGCGTACCCATGTTTACGATCCCTGGTCGTACATTCCATGTGGATACACGCTACGCCAAGTCTCCGAGTGAGGACTACGTGGACGCAGCAGTGAAGCAGGTCATGCAGATCCATCTATCTCATCCTCCAGGTGACATTCTGGTGTTCATGACAGGTCAAGAAGACATCGAAGCGACGTGTTACGTGTTGGCAGATCGAATGGGTAAGTTAGACGGTGCTCCTCCCCTCATGGTTCTCCCCATGTATTCCCAACTACCAGCTGATCTACAGGCAAAAATCTTCGACGCCTCTGACATCCGGAAGTGCATTGTATCGACGAATATCGCCGAGACTTCGTTGACTGTGGACGGTATCAAGTACGTGATCGACACGGGATTCTGCAAGGTTAAAGTGTATAACCCCAAGATCGGCATGGACGCTCTGCAGGTTAGTCCTATCAGTCAACAGAACGCTAATCAGCGTGCCGGTCGTGCCGGACGTACCGGTCCTGGTGTCGCCTACCGGTTATACACACAACGTCAGTTCGTCAACGAGCTACTGGAAGCGCAGATTCCAGAGATCCAAAGAACAAACTTGGGGTACGTCGTGCTGCTGCTCAAGTCTCTAGGCGTTTCTAACTTACTGGAGTTCGATTTCATGGATCCGCCTCCTCAAGATAACATCACTAACTCCATGTACCAATTGTGGGTACTAGGAGCGTTGGATAATACCGGCGAACTGACTGAAATCGGGAAGAAGATGGTGGTGTTCCCACTGGATCCACCTCTAGCGAAGATGCTGTTGTTCAGCGAACAACTGGGGTGTACTGCTGAGGTGCTCATCGTTGTGAGTATGCTGTCTGTTCCCAGTGTATTCTTCCGTCCCAAAGATCGAGAAGAAGAGAGTGACGCTGCAAGAGAGAAGTTCTTTGTACCAGAGAGCGACCACCTTACGCTGTTGAATGTGTATCAACAATGGGAGTCCAACCGCCACTCTGCGCAGTGGTGTTCGGACCATTTTATCCATGCGAAAGGCCTTCGTAAAGCTCGTGAAGTGAGGGAGCAACTAGCGGATATTATGAAGCAACAACATGTGCGTCTTCGGTCATGTGGAGGACGTTGGGATGTCGTTCGGAAGGCCATTTGCTCTGCGTATTTCTACAACTCGGCGCAGATTAAGGGCATTGGCGAGTACGTCAACATGCTGACAGGTATGCCGTGTAATCTGCATCCAAGTGCTGCGTTGTTTGGGCTCGGATACACGCCAGACTTTGTGGTGTATCATGAGCTTATCTACACTAGTAAAGAGTACATGCAGTGCGCTACAGCAGTGGAAGGAGAGTGGTTGGCGGAGCTAGGACCGATGTTCTTCAGTGTCAAGGAGTCGTTCCAGTCCCGATTACTTAAGCGGATGAAGGAGAAGGAGGAAGCGGTGGGGATGGAGCAGGAAATGGAGGCTTCTAGACACGCTAAAGAGGAAGAAGCCAAGGAGGATTTAGAGAAGAGAGTTGCATTGAATCGGCAGAACAAGAAGCAACGGATGACCGTGGCTGGTCCTGGACGCTCAGATCCTCCTACAAGTTCTTCAAAGACAGCGAGACGTCCGCCGCGCCCTCGTCGCTTTGGATTTTAGTCAAGCAAATTTCCAGAGTAGATGCACTAAAGCAGTAGCGTTGGGTCGGCTTTGTGGCTCGAAGGAGCACATTCGGGTGACCAGATCCCATTGCTCGTCGGTGAAATTATTCGGTCTTCGCGGTGTTTTCGTCTGGAGAACGTTAGACTTTACTGCTGCGTCATCCAGACTTTTTCCCCATGGAAAGTCTCCACTGATAACTTCGATGATGCACATAGCGAACGAGTAAATATCCGACGCCAAAGTCGGTCCTGAACCTGCCAGACATTCCGGCGCTTTCCAACGATATGCGCCAATTGCTCCTCCCGAGTTTTCAGCCTTTGCAAACACACTCAAGCCAAAGTCTGCGAGCTTGGCTGTTCCATCACATACGAGAATGTTGTTCCCCTTCAGATCTCCGTGGATAATTCCCCGTTCGTGAAGATATTCCAGTCCTTTGGCTGCTTCCCAGATCGCCCTCCAGGTAGGAAATTCTCTGCGCTCTTCGCTGTATTTGATCAATGTTCCTTCATCCGCTCGCTCACACACGAAGAAGGGCTGGCCTTCATGCCACGCACCGTAGAGTTTGATCAAGTTGTCGTGGTTTAGAGACGCCCAGAGGTTCACTTCGTGGTAAAACTGTCTGCGGTTTTCCTGATCCGCTTGATTCGTCAGAACTTGCTTGACTACCACATCCGTATTGAACCATTTACCGAGATACACGGCTCCAAACGATCCCTCAGCTAGATGCTGACCCAGTTCGATCTGGTAAGCAGGAATGAACCATCTCGGGACGTTTGTATGATTCATTGTTTCATACTGCAGCAACGTAATGGCCTCTGTCTTGTTGATTTTTGCTTGGACCATGTACTCTTCAGGGTTTTCCATACACTTTTGCAGTGTTTCTTGTTGACATTGCAGTGTTTGCTGCCAATCAGGCTGCCAATGATGGATTAATGCGTTGTTCTGGAGATATTTGGTGCTGAGAATGAGGCGGTCGATGTCGTGGTGGAGTCCGTAATTGCGGTTTGCCATAGTGTTAGCAGCGCAAAGCGTGGCGACGGAGCTGTAATCGCCTTCTGCTTGCTTGTCAAGACGAAGATAAAAGCGCCACAAGATCGAGCCATAGTCCTCCACTAGCGTCAACGGCAGTGGGTCTTTTACAGCTGCAAGTTGTTCGTATACATCGAGCAAACGGTTGTACACGGGGCGGTTTGTATCGATAAAGTTCTCCACTTCATCACACAGTATGTCGGCGTCTTGAAGGACGTCACTAATAGTGCGATCTTCATCTGGAAGGACAAACGAATCAACATGTTTTATGGACTGAGAAGACCCGAAATCTTCCTCGTCGCTCCAAATGTCACGATCAGTTTGGCTGTGAATGGATTCGAGTTTGTGTGTGACCTCGATCATACTCATTCTCTCCTCGGGATCGTCAGCACACATTCCTGTCAGTAGATTCCATTGCTCCTCATTAAAGAAGCTTGGTGGACACTCTGGAAGTCGCTGCGTTCGCTTAAATTCCTCAAGTTCGGAGTCGTCAAAGCTGAAGGAATCCACGAGAAACTCAAACATGACGAGACCGAAGGCCAAGATATCCGATTTAACGGATTCTTGGTCTTTAATACGAGTCAAATTGAGACCACTCAACACCCCTTTGAACTCGTACAACGACTGGAGATTGTCCAAGCTCAATTTTTCATGAACTAGGCCACGTTCATGCACGTACTTTAAACCAAGAGCACAGCCATACATGTAGAACCAAGGGTTAATGTTTGGGTAGCGTGATACAGTCAGTTCATGAATCACGTACGGGTTTCCGACATGACACGCTCCGTAAAACTTGCGAACATGAGGATGATGCAGAGGCGCCCACGTACTCACGTGCCTCAAACAAGTCTCTTCTTCTCCAATAGAGAATTTTTCGGAGTGAGACCAACCTCGTTTATCCGTCGCAAACCAATCCGGAATCGTCACCACCACAACGTTCGATGTGAGAACCACCTTATCAAACACCTGAGCGATTAGATCCAGCTCCATAGGCAGCAATACGTCTCCAAACTTCTCGACGCCGTATTTCATCATCGTTAACAGCTCCAATTGTTGCACACTGTCCCCAATTTCACTCTCAAACTTGCTTTTATCCTTTAATAAGGACTTAAACTTATCCACACGCTGCTCACGTTCCTTTTGTAGCTCCATCTCCCAGTTACTCTCAACATCAGCATCAATTCCCAGCACACCTAACGTCGTCTTGATCCCCAATTCCAGCACTTGCACCACCTTCCCAGTACTCGCTAACCTGACCAGCAATCGACTTTCTGTCTCGTAATCTGCCAGTCGCTCGTGGATATCTCGACCCCATTCAGCAATGACCTCGTCGTCCTTAAACTTTCGACTGGCGTTGCGCAACTGCGTCACTAAGAAATCTCCGATCCGATCGGGCGTCTGCAACAAATGCTCATGGCTGGAATGCCAGCGACTGCAAGTGTCGACTTTCGAGTCGATGAGATTGCCCCATGAACGCCACGGATCCGTCATTATCAAAACGTGTGGACATGTGTAGGGGAGATACTCTTGTATCTGATTTACCCGGATGTAGCCATTTTTGAAAGATGGCTACATCATAGTCGAACATGTCACGAAATAATGGGGTCCACATCAAGTACGTCAGGCGATGTGTTCAGCCAATCAGATCGCGTTCTCGCTGAATGTGAATAGCTGCAAAAACTGCAACTTCGACTGCACCCATTCAGCATTTTGCTGCCAATTGCTCAAGACTCCAGCAGCCAATGACGCACATTATCGCGTACAAGGCCAACGTGGTACATTCCGTGGCTCTCGGCAAGCTGCAAGTGCTTCAGCCTGGACTCGTAGGCGTCAACGAACACGGCAAGATCGTGTTTGTGCTGGACTTGAGCCAGTCGCCAGTCGACACGTGCCACTTCGACGAGCTCGTGGACTTGGGCGAGCAGCTGCTGCTTCCTGGCTTCATCGACGGCCACGCACACGCTCCCCAGTACTCGTTTATCGGCGTGGGAATGCACCTACCGCTGCTTCAATGGCTAGAGACGTACACGTTCCCATACGAGTCAAAGTTCCAGAATCTGGGCTACGCTAAAGCTGTGTACGAGAAGGCAGTGCGACGGCATTTGAATAATGGCACAACCACGTGTTCGTACTTTGCTACGGTGCATCTGGAAGGGTGTAAGGTGCTGACGGATATAATAGAGCAAGTGGGGCAACGGGGATACGTGGGGAAGGTCAATATGGACCGAAATGGGTCTTCCGGACTGCAAGAAGACACGCAAACGTCTATTGAAGACACGAGAGAGTTTGTGCAATACGTACAGAGTAAACGAAACGAATTATTGACTCCAGTTATCACGCCGAGGTTCGTTCCGAGCTGCACGTCGAAGCTGATGAAAGCACTGGCCGAGATCTCGAGGGAGCATACACCAAAACTACCAGTACAGTCACATCTGGGGGAGAATCGAGACGAGATCAGCTGGGTGAAGAGTCTACATCCAGAGAGTGAGACCTACACGGGAGTGTATGACGATCATGGACTGCTACATGAGCGATCGTACATGGCTCACTGTATCTGGTGCAGTAAAAATGAACGAGAGTTGCTACGTGAGAAGCAGACGGCGGTGATCCACTGTCCTAATTCCAATTTCTCACTCTCCAGTGGAGTGTTGAACGTACGTCGACTACTGAATGAAGGCATTAAGGTCGGATTGGGCACTGACGTGTCAGGGGGATACTCTCCGTCCATGCTGGATGCCATTCGCCAAGCTGTCATCGCTTCCAAGCTCGTTTCTATCGGTAACGGCTCTGGGGGTGAAGACACTGATGAACTGCAGCACGAGCCACTCTCTTTTGCTGAAGCTTTTCATCTTGCTACCGTCGGGAGCGCAGAAGCGCTGGGGCTTAGTGATAAAGTAGGCAACTTTATGGTCGGCAAGGACTTCGACGCGCTTGTTATTGACCCATACGTTGCCAACAGCCCCATCGACGAGGCTCACGACCCAGTCGAAGGTGCGGATGTGTTGCGTACGTTCCAGAAGTTCCTGTTCCTTGGCGATGACCGTAACATCGTCTCCATCTTCGTGGGCGGACGGCAAGTTAAGAGTGCAGGGCTTAAACCTAAGGACGTCGACGTCACCAGCTCCCCACTGACTCCTGGCAGTGTACACCCCACTATCCAGCCTCTGTCTTTGACAGGTTAGATACAGCATACTTCATAATGCACGTACTCAGGTTAAACCGGGCTAACATACTTTATTATCCCGCATACCTCATGTCCTCAAGAGGATCGGAGGATGCCTCATTAGCGTCACAAGTGACTCAAATAACGCTGACGCGGGTCTTGGCTGGTGAAATACCCTCAAATAGCCGTCTAACTTGGGGGAAGAAATCTACTCGAGCTTGCCGAGGATGTCCTCGTCGCGGAACAGAAAGAGCTCCTTGTCGCCAAGCTTCACGGAGCTGCCACCGTACTCGGGCAGCAGCACCTTGTCGCCCACAGCGCTCTGGGCAGGGATGAGCGTTCCATCGGGGGCACGGGCTCCAGGGCCAACAGCCACGACCTCGCCCTCGTTCTGCTGCTTGCTCTCGGCGTCCGGCAGGTAGATGCCGCTGGCAGTCTTAGCCACGGCCTCGAAGCGCTTGACCAGCACGCGGTTGCCAAAGGGGACCAACTTACGGAGAGAGCTCTGTGTTATTCACAGTCAACAGAAAACATACCGTGGTCAGTGGAGGTGTGATGCATTGGCAAAGAGGCCGTATAGGACGACGGAAGCAGGAGGTTTGCCGTATCGAGGTAGCAACTACGCACCATATTATCGATGTGTGGAATTGCGGGCGAAATGCGAATTGATCGCCTCCACCGAAGGTGCCGGAAGTATTAGATGTGCGGTCCTTGTTGAAGCGACCTTCCGACGACATGCAGATGTAATTTAGGAAAAGTATGTGTCTACATGTAATTTTGTAGTTTTCTACTGGTTGAATTTGCAAGACTTTGAGTTGATAAGGTAAATAGTGGAAGATCATTCACCTTCGCACGACCTTCGCGGTCCCAATCGATTGTTCCAGAACCGCTGACGTCAGCTTCAAGGCAAGCGTGTCAAAAGCTCCTCTGCGCTCCAACTTCTGTATCGCGAGGCCGCTGTGGTGGCAGTCCGATGTCCAACGGGGTCTTCCTCGAGCAGGCAAGTTCGTGCAAACCACACTCTAACACGGGCTGATGCTGGAGCAGTTGCACATTCCGGTGGTGGGCTTTTTGAATCGAGTCGCGGCTGTGGCTCCACGCCGGTACGTTTAGGCGCCCGTTGCCTTGAGAAGGTTTGGTGTTGATCTGGTTCACAGGAGCCCGATGGTCGAGGCAAGCCACTCCTGATGCACGGAGATATTGTTGTTGTACACACCGACGAAGCCCTTGCTGAACGCGAAAACCGAAGATGCTTCTAGGCACTGCTCGGCACTCGTTGAACCGCAAATTCTCTCACTAGATGATACTTTGAGCTTGTGAAGCGACGGTAACGGCTGTATCTCTCCCAGCGAGAGTAGAAGATCGAGCGAGATCATCAAGTTGCGTGGTCCTGTAATGTGGCTAAGCGTTGATGCACTCCGGGATGCTGGAGTATTAGCGATTTTATCTGATTACAAGTGGGGTTTAAGGCGTGTCGGTAAGTTCGTGCCCAACACGACGAAGTAGTGGCAACTACGGAGTGAGAGCAATCGATCGCGGAGTATTGCGCTGGTCACAGTGTCTGCTAGGAGATTGTTTAGACGTAACCTTTTGTTTTCGTCGTAGGATCATGACTCGTCATCGCGACTGAGGTGATGAACATTTGTTGTTATTCGAAAACAAAGGTCAAAGTCAGATTTCATGTGGAACTTATGAAATCGAAGTGCGAACAATCGACCAGCATAGCAATGAGCGCGTCAAAACTGAATCATTCATAATCAAGCGAGAGCGCACGCGCTGAAGCACCGTAGAAGCAGCACTGACATCGTACCGATAAGACATTCATAAAATGAAGTGAAGCTTAGGAACACAAGAGAGAGAAAATTTGCGGTGACTATCGTAGTGTACACGTCAGCTTAGTGCAAATCAGTCGAAACATCGCCTTCACAAGAAGGCGGTACAACAATGCACCCTGGACCGCTACATCCGAAGACTTATGGCAAGCGTTCTGCCACATAGTAAGATGCTCCGCGCGACACTTTTACTATTATCTTATAGATTCTTCAGTGTAGACTTCCTAAGAGTAATGACCAGATAGGTGGCGAGACTTTGTAAATTTAGAGAATGATAAAAAAAAATAAAAAGAAGATTGTGATCACTAACTTCTCATATCACTCCACTCACTCACGCTGCCTTGGAATAGCGACAGCGGACGTTCATCAATGGGGGAGACCAAGTCCAAAAGAGAACCCAGCACTGCAACCACCGACATCCCGAGTCAATGAATGAAGTCGAATACGATCATCAAAGTTAATGAGGTTGTCTACTAGGAAAGTCAAGTAGAAAAGAAGGTACTATAGAAATGATCCTGTAAAAGTACGGTCTTGGTTTGCTTAACCTAAACGTTGCCGCTATTTATACGACAGTACAAATCCATACGATCAAATAGCAAATATAAAGCTCCATACCATTGGTCAATACACTTCAATGATCATCAGTCTGCTCAAAATTGCACTGTCGCTGGAAGATCGCCATGCAGCTACAAGTCGTGGTGTTTGTGCTGCGGTATCAGCCCTTTATCGCCGCCCCCACCGTTCTGGGGCGTGAAATCTCCAGTTTTTTGGGGCCGTCAGCTCATCTTTCTCTAAGCGAGGCATGCAAGGTAGGCTCGATTTCTCTATTGGACTGGATGTGGGAGGCGAGCTGCATATCCATCGCTGAAAGACCATCAAGTTGGTCTCTCGCCAACTTCCTGCGCTCCGATGTTCACTACTATCGATGGCAGTTCTCCAAGACGCTGGAAGCTGCTGCTACTCACGCCAATTTGGCGACACTGGACTGGGTTTTCAAACACTTTAAGGGGTGCATTGCGACTGGGAATATTGTGGAGCTAGTAGCTGGAAAAGGCCACCTCCAGGTTCTGCAGTATATGCTGGAGCGCGATGCTGGGCGTGAATACAGACATCATCGTGTGCCAGTTGATAACGAGAGTGAACTGTACTATAGTATACCTGAGTTGCCATCACATTGGAGTGGACCTGGTAATTGTATGTGTTGGGGTGGTCGTAGTATGCTTCGCGCTATTGAAAATGGCCACTTGGATGTTGCACGGTGGTTGGATGACAATAGCCCTCACGAGCACAACGACAACGAGATAAAGGCCATCGTTCACGCCGCTCTAGAGGCTGGCGCTGTGGAGTTTGCTAAGTCTCTTTTACCAGCAGACAGAAGCATCTTCGACTATGCTGAGAACTGTTTCCATCCTGACGTGGTTGAGATGAAGCTAAATAGCGGGATACAGCTGAATCAAACCGATGCTGCACTTGCAGTGTATAGCCTTACTAAAGCTGGACGTCTGGATCTCTTGAAGCAACTTGACCATCTTCACAGTCCTCCCCCAGCGGACAACGAGCCATATCTGCACTGCTGGAAGCTAGCAATGTATGGGACCATTCAAAGGGAGGACTTTCCAATGATTCAGTGGTTGGTGGAGCATCAATTTGGACAAGATGTACGAGAAAAACGCGATGGATCACTGGGCTTTGTTGACGTGGCGGCATCAAGAGGAAATCTTTGCATTCTGCAATATCTACGCGATAAAGGGTTTGCTGACGGATATGAGGACGCGCTAGTAAGAGCAGTTCACAGTGGCTACTTGGACGCTGTGAAATGGCTGCTTCCTCATGCCACAGACCTCACGAAACTAGATGATCATAATTTGATGGATGAAGCCGCAAAATATGGTCATTTGGACATCCTGCAGTTCTTCCATAACACAAGTTCGCCGTGTGCATTAATCTCACGGAAAACGGATGCTATGGAAATAATTCGTTGCTCGCCCAAGGCAATGGATTTCGCAGCAGCACAAGGGCATCTGGACGTAGTGCAATGGTTACACGCGAATCGGTCCGAAGGCTGCACTACATTTGCCATGAACAATGCTGCAAAAAATGGCTATCTGGAGATTGTTCAATGGCTTCACACTAACCGATCCGAGGGATGCACAACTGAAGCGATGGATTCTGCAGCCCAAGAAGGTTTCGTGGAGACAGTCAAGTGGCTACATAAGAATCGCTCGGAGGGCTGTACATTCAAAGCAATCGAAATGGCGATTAGCAATGGGCATCTGCATGTTGCGTGTTGGTTAAGAACTCATTATACTGAGCACCACCCGGCAATGGTAGGCAAAGCAATTTGCCCAGGGCGTATGCTAGAGATTCTTCTCTTCCTCTATGTACACTACCCACACGTGTTCACGATATGGTTTTGTGCAAGAATTCGACGATTTCTGTTGAGTGCTAATGGAGCGAATAGCAATGTAGTAGAATGGCTAGACGCACACCATCCAAATCATTGATGCTGGCTTTAAAATAAGCTTGTTTTTTTTTTCGGGATCATGGTACGGTTTGTCGACCAATAGCTTCTTCTCGGGTTCGGAATCCCGTTCATTCTAACTGACAAATTCATTTTTCGGTATTACCACCGCTTTGTTAGGTCTGAAAATCTTACCCTTAACCACTCTAACATCGGTTCGTAATCGTCATGCGGCCACTGTATGATATGCTTGCCTAACACTGTATGATATGCTTGTCTAGCACTGGGGTCACAAGGTGGGTGTCCTACAAATAGAGGAGTGCTCGCATCTGTAAAAGTTGGTAAGAAGTCTACGCGGATAAACATGTAAACTCTAGAAAACCAGTTTGCAGCCAGCAAGTAACTCCCAAGTACCCAGATTCAGAGCCCCTTCCAAAACGTCGAATGAGCACTCCTCTCCACGATGGTCACACAGCCACTTAATCGTCTCGTATTATCCAGATTTTTTTTAAATTGCTGCGATCTATCGATCTGCCACTGGAAATTTTCATTGTGACGTCAACACTTGACGTCGCACGGTAGGGGTAAGTGTTGACGTCGCACCTCGACGTTATTTACTCGGGGCGATACGGGTAAATTACCCGTATTTATTGTAGCTAACCAATGGTAGACTACACTGATTACGTGACGCATCACAATCACAAAATGATCCTCCACACGCAAAGTCATTGCTTAATCTGACGAATTGGGCTCACTCAAGCGATACGAGACACATGGATAACAAGTCATTGAGTCTGCCGAATCGGTCGCACTATCGCGACGATGTCATCGGGCAAGTGGTGCAGAGGATCAAGTTTACATCTCACTATGCTCAAACGCCCAAAATCTACGAAGAAGACGATACCACTCATGTGTTCTCAAAACGCAACGCGCCACTCGATGTCACCTCGTTAGACAGAATTTCCCCACGAACGCATTCCAGATCCTCGACAGAAAGCTTAGACATCAACATGCCAGTATTAGAGGGAAACGATACAACTCCGTTCGACTCGGGAAGCGAAACAATGGTAAAGACATTAAAACAGCAACACAGAGGGTATATGCAGCGATATCGG